AACTTCTGATGGTGACTTTGGAGCCTCTGCTTCCAGAACTGCCTTTACTCTTTCCTCTGTTGGTCCAATTCCGTACTGTGATAGCAGGATACCCATGAAGATTATCTTGTCCATTCTAAAGGAGCACTTCGCTGGGTTGAGTGTCAGGTTTCTCTCTTGTAATCGTCTGATAACATTCTCCAGGTTTCTGTCGTGGTCCTCAACATTCTTTCCATGTACAACAAGGTCATCTGCAATGTTCTGGACGCCTTCAATGTCAGCCAGTACTTGCCTTATAATCTGTTGGTACTTCTCAGGTGCAGAGTTAACTCCAAAGAGCAGTCTCTTATATCTGAAGAGCCCGTCGTGCGTAGCAAACGTCGTTATGTCGCGGGAATTTTCACTCAATTCAATCTGGTGGAATCCCAGTCGGAGGTCTAGCTTGGAAAACACTGTACTGCCATTCAGACACTCAAGCACCTCGTCGACCGTTGGCATAGGGATTCTCTCTCTAATTATTGCTTCGTTAGCTCGCCGCATGTCTACACACAGTCTGATATCTCCTCCACTCTTTGTTTGGACAGTAATCGGACTGACCCATGATGTTGGACCCTCCACTGGCTCGACTATGTCCCTCTCTATCAGGCTCTTTATCTTCTCTGTCACTTTCTCACGGTAGGGAAAGGCAATGGTTCTTGGCTTCTGGGCCACTGSTGTAACAGTTTCGTCAATGTGCAGCTGTAGTTGATAGTCAGTGAGTTTTCCGRCACCTGTGAAAACTTTAGGATATTTAGATTTGAGTTGGCTAGCAATATCCTGATTACTGTTGATTTCCAGGCTAGATGTTGGGCCAATATGTAAGATTCCTAATGCTTTAGATGAAACATTACCCAGAATACACCGTCCATTATCAGTAACTATAAATTGAGAATCAATTTTTCTGCCGTGTACCGATAACTCAACATCAAATTGGCCTATTACTTCAAGCTTCTTGCCTCCATAAGCAAATAATTTTTTCTTACAGTCATTCATACTAGCCTGTAAACCTTGTGCTTCCAATTGCTTGAATTCACTTAAGCTGATCAGGTTACTCACCGATCCAGAGACAATAAGCACATCTTTATGGATTCCATTTACGCTTACCGACATCACAGGTTCCTCGCTTGTCGTACACACATTTTCTACCTCCTCAGTCACTGCAAACGCAAATTCGTCTTCTTCACTGTCACTTTCTTCTTCTTCTCCTACCCAGTTGGCTGCTCCACGTCTACGGTTCCTCCGTCCACCTTGACTGCTGGTCTTCGTAGTATGCTCACCTCCAGTGCTACTACCAGACGCTGTTGGACCTTTACAGCAGGCCGCAAAGTGCCCATATTTCCCGCATTTGGCACACGTTTTTCCTTTTGCTGGGCAGTTTCTATCCCTTCTCATGTGACCTTCTTTGCCACAACTGTAACAGGTCAGTTTCTTTGTAGGCTTGGACTTCACCGCGTTGATACTTAACTGGTTTCCTTGTTGGGATGCTTTCCCTGTCATATTACTTGCTTGCAAGTTGGCTGTTTCCCAAGCACGTGCTGTATCAAGTGCTTGATCAAGGGTTATGTTTCTTGTTTCTAATAACTTCTTTTTTAAGTCTAGGTTTTGTATTTGTTCGATTAGYTGATCTCTAAGATTATCATTCAGATTVRCTCCAAAATTACAGTRTTTTGCYTSCTTTTTCWAGCGKATGACATACTGGTCAGCGGTTTCGCCCTCTGTCATGGCGATGTGTCGAAACACGTGTCTCTCGTAGGGTACGTTCTCTTCTGCACGGAAATGATGATCTAGCTTCCGAATTGCTTCTTGAAACACATCATCGTTTTCTTCAGGAATCGGTCCTGG